TTATAAATAACAGTGAAACAAACGACAGTTCTATTTTTTGAGGAGGCAAAAATGAACTTAAATCCACAATGGAATTCATCTGGATTCCAATGTTTGTCAAGTCAATAATTTTTTTCACGTTGAAATTTTTTCCTAAAATATAAGACTTGGAGTTAAACCGAAGCAATTCTTCGCTTGCCGTCGCTATGAAATGGAAACTCTGCTTCGTACAAATCTTTTTCATTTCCCGCTCCTAAGTAGGCCCTTTGATGTGTCTCTAACCTGTTACACGATGTAAGAATTTGAGGGATAACGAAAAAATTCTAAGGCCTTATTGAAAACTTGGCCACTTTTAAGCGAGGTTTATGGTTAATTGATAGCCTGACGAAATGATCGATTTTTAGCGACAAGCGCGAGGGAACTTTTTAGGGTCTTGTTTTAAAATGTAAATATCGATAGTCATCTAATAAATCCAGAACAGATCATCAAAAGAATATTGTATGAAGCGGAAGTGTGAGTATTTCAAAATCTCGCAAATTAAAATTCCTGGTGTGCAGTCCATAGATTTTACTCATATCATGAAGTTATCAATTTTTATGAAGTATGTGTTAGGATTTCAAAAACCTAATATGCATACCTAAGCACATAAAAAACATATTTATATAAAAATTTTAAATTATAATAAGTGCTATGAATTAAAAAGAATACTCCTAAGCCTCCGCTAGTCATGAACTTTCTCTGTATGTAGATTTAGGGATTATCTGCAATTTTTTAATTCATCTCAATTCATGGAGATCTCCTCTTCAAAGGCTCATTTAGAAGTGGTCACGACTTCAGAAGCTGCCAAAGTTTCCTGAAAGCAATCGCAAGCGAAAGGTTCTAGGAAAGTTCTTCTAATCTTTGGAGGAAATTGAGTTTTCCTTTCACTGAACCATCTTGCAGATTGGCAATGGTTGGGAATTGGTATCATTCGATATGATACCAATTAATATATGATATCATTCGATTTGATACTTGGCCCCCCAAACAAAATAAAATAAAAATACAACATGAGAATTATCCTAAAATTAAAACAACATGATGAGCAGCGAATAAATTAACGTGTTGTTTAAGTTTCTCATATAATTGCTCAGTGTTATATTTTCTATGTGAATCGAATTCACAAAATGTAAACTTATGTTTCCTCAGTGGAATACAGGTTCACTTACTGGCATTTGAAAACATAAGCCAACGAAAATATACGGGAAAACGAAAATTTGCTTCATTTTGCGTATGATAGAAAAACATCACGAGCTTCGTTTTCAGGTTGGCTTCATGGACATATAATGGCAAGTTTGAAAAGCTCAATTCCCAGTGCAAATTTCCAATTTTTCTCAGCTTGGCCATGAAAAATTGCCTCCAAAATGCAGCTATGATTATTCGTTAAATGATTTAAAAAGCTTTCAATTAGTCAGATGGCGAGAAAAAAACAGCAGATCAAAACTGCTTTTAGGCTTTGCAATCAAAATATCACAGGCGTCTTCACTAGTGGTGTCTATTTATAATTAAAATTGGAGATTGAAAAATGTGTGGAGTTCGTAGAGTTGTCTCCCCCTTGTACGACAGCATCGTTATTTTATTTCAGGGGAAAAATTTGAATCCCAACAAAAAGTTTTGCCGTTTAAACATTTAGGAGCTTTAATTAACAATATGTAGTGAGAAAATGAAATTATGATGAAACATATAAGTCAGTTGAGTAAAAATTCGGAAAATTGTGAATTTTTTATAAAAGGACATAGAATTTAGAAAAAAAAACTTCATGGCATTATGCCTAGTTTTTGAGAGCTTTCCTTTACTACACGGTTAATTAGAATTATTAGAAACCATATCCTACAACAGTAATGGGGCTAATAAAACCACCGAGTAAAAAACGCCAAATAAATTACTATAAATTCTTTTCGATGAAATAATATCTTATAAACTACTCGAAGCGCTTGATCAATGAAGCCCCATAATAAAATGACAATTAGAGAAATGACCCAATAATTATTGATGTTATAAGAGATTTTTAACTTTTTTCGCTGCTTAATTATTCTATGAATGAAATTTCACTGCGGTACCCGTCTATACAATTAATGGTTATATTAGAATTTCACTTGCCATTAGCGTTTATCACCATGCCGAAGACGCAATCCTAAGATCGTCGCAGCATAGTTTTTCTCGAGGGAAATGTAGAGTGCGCCATTCCATTTCACGCATATGTACTTTTTCAAGCAGCGGCAGCTCCTTTTTCTGAACAGACCATAATAAATATCTGGCATATCTTCCGAAAATGCATCGCGAAATTAGCTCGCCCCATTTCTTGGACCCGAGGAAAAGACGAAGTATTTAAACTTTGATATCACTCCCTATTTTTCTGGAGATTTGCGTATTCCGATACGGAAGGATAATTTAAAGCGTATAATTTTCAGTAAACGTATTTTGAGGAACCTATTTTTCTGGAGATTTGCGTATTCCGATGCGGAAGGATAATTTAAAGCGTCTAATTTTCAGTAAACGTATATTGAGGAACCTATTTTTCTGGAGATTTGCGTATTCCGATGCGGAAGGATAATTTAAAGCGTCTAATTTTCAGTAAACGTATATTGAGGAAGCAATTTGACGTTATGTTTTGATGCGGCTAGAGGGAGCGGGGAAAGCAGGATTTTATCAAGTCTTGGGGATAATGAAAGCTTTGAAGCAAATTGTATTGAGGCTTTGAATCGTCATGAAAAATAGTTTCTAAAATTCAGAAAAAAAATTCTACTTGTGAATATCTTCGATCTAAATATGAACAATTTCAGAGAGCAAAGAATGCAGTACATATATGAAGGGCTGAAAGATATTGGTATCAAATACTAATTCAAAACGTTAACTAATTATGAAAAATAGTACCGCGACAGTTAATTTTGATAAAAATTTTCTGCATGGGCGACGATGTCGATGATGTTGATTAGCATAATTGATTTTACATTAATCTCAGCTGGAAAGAATTAATACTGATTGATTTATTTTATCACAAGAAGAACAAAATGTACACGGAACTATTCATGAAATGCTTACAAATTCATTCTCGGAATGTACAAGATGAAATTTAAGCCATGTAATTCATTAACAATATCTCATCTTCGAATTTCAAGTCAGAGACTGGACAGATAGCATTTTCCACATCGTGATGATTATAACACGGTTATCGCATTTTTTAAAATAATGAAGTTTAAAATTGGTGCGGATTCTATTAATTGATTTATCGTGGGTTCTGGCGATATTTGTGGCTGAACTCATTATCGTTGGCCATTGAAAACTATTTCGTAACTGTAAATTTAATCTTTGTCATTTGCAGATTACAATTCTGCAACGGAATGTTGGAAGAATTGTGATTTTTTTCTCTCACTTCTAATTTGTAAACTATTTATTCAGTTCTACAAAGCTCCACCAAATTAAGTTCTTCTGTTAGAAGCAGACGATGAGATAAAGGGTCGCCTTTTGATCTCAACAATGTCAGAGAAGCAATGAAATGCATTCCAATCCTTGATAGCAGCAATCTCGTCCGAAAATGTAAAGGAAATTAGTATTAAATTTAGAATACATCTTGTTTAAATTCTGTACGGCGACATTCTTGGAGTAAATACATCGATCACCGTTTCTTTTATTGTAATTTTTTCATGCTATTTGGCCCAATATATCAATGTAGTTGAATTAGATTCTGTATAAAGTCGATTGTCAAAAATTGTTACCTATGTTGCTGCTTGATGATGACAATGATCGTTAATTATCATCAAACGTCATCGTATAAATTATCCTCCATTAAGATCACAAATCAATGATTTATTTAAACAGTATTTTTTTTTGCCTACGACATATATACTCATTTCCAATCATTTATAACGCAGCGTCGTTCATTAGCTATTCGTGTTCTAATTAAAGCCAACATAAATTCATTCGAAAAAATAAAATGGAAAAATACATGTAATTACCCAATTCAAATCGGATTTTTTTGCTGGCTATACGGCAATAAAATGAAAATATCAAAACTAAATTTTGAAACGATTGAACTTGAACGAGTCTCGTAAGTAAGACTTTGGTGAACATTAATGGTCTTGCTTCAATGAAAATATGTACATAATAATTTCAGAAACTACGGTTATATGCAATAATATAATATAATATATATATATATTAATATAATATATTATATATATAATATAATATATATATATATATTAATATAATATATACTAATACATAATATTACTTGCCGCCCATAGTACTTTAGAGATAGAGAGCACTGTAGATTTGCCGTGGAGTTCTTGGTCATGCATTTATATGAACGATCGAAACTTTCTCAGTCCAATTCTGTTGCAAAAAATATCCGTATTTCTAAGTGATAAGAAAATTATTTTTTTCTTGTATGAGTAATGATTGTTCATGAAAACCCGTTTGTTAGGATCGTATACATCGATTTGATCCAAGTTTTCTCATCGACGGCGCATTCATGTTTTATGCAGGATTTCAACAATAATTAATACACCAAAAAATGCCAATACCGGGTGAGGTTCACTCCTTGTGACAAAAATATTAAAAATATTAGATCAGTACTCACTGCAGTGAGTGACAGTGAGCGCATTTTCTCGTCCGTCTGTGAAGTCACGGACGGACGGACATGACGAACATGACGGACATGACGAGCACAATAGCGCCTTTTTTCCATAAATGAGAAAATTCGCTAAAAAGATGATAATGGTAATACTTCAAAATCAAGGAAGTAATTATTTAAATGAGTACGGGCTACAGCTTCACTTCCCCAAATTTAAGACCAAACTCGTTTTCAAAGAGAAAAACTGCTAAAACTTTGCTCAACTGTGGTGCATTATGAGATGTAATAAAACATTTGAATCCTCAAATGAACTTGTCTATGAGCTGCATTCTTATTGTCACCTAATACAGTACACTTCTCATACATTTATCCATGAATATATACAAGATAAGACAAGACTGGTAACTGTTCATCACTATAAGCTGCTTTCTGATTCCTCTGATCTGGCGGGCTGAGGATCTTGGAACTCCTCGGCTGGTGCGATTACGTCGTCCTGAAATGAACAAAAAATAGCTTATAATTTTTGGATGCCTGCAGTCTCGGGTTGAACACTTTTCGTATGAATGTTTTAGTTGAATCGAAAATTTTACTTATAGAATAAATCATTTTAATTCAAATCTATTAATATATATAGAAAATATTTACCACAAAATCGAAAATTAAAATTTACACATCTTCGACAATAGTCATCAAAGCTTTAATATTTATTCCAAACGCATTATTAACGCCGCATAATTGAGTATTATGGCACGGATGGGATTTTTCGGTTGCCGACAAAACCTCAAATGTTCAACAGGAAATTCAATATTGACCGCCACTTGAAATAAATCGAAAAATATATCAATGCGAATGATTTCTGCAACTTGAATTGTGAGCATTGTAAATAACGATTTTTCTTTGCTATGAAAGTTTTTTTAACAAAAAGTGGCGCTGTGAAACCCTTTCGTTTATTAGAATGACATTATTGAGATATTATTCCAGCCATAAACCATGAATCAGCCATACAAGCAATTTAAATACTATTCAGTTGTCTTCTAACTGAAAATTCACCTGATAATTCGAACATTTAGTGCCATCGTGCGGGTGATGGGACATCCTGAGCTGCGTGCCGACGCGCAATCTCGAGTTTCCGAGCACCGCGATGGATTGACAATTCTTGTGCGGCGGTGGCGTTGGATGTTGTTCTTTAGCTGCCGGTCTCTGCGCTCGACGAGGCAATGTTTCTTTAGCGGGCGCCAACACATCATTGTGTACACATTGCTCAGCCGGAATCGGTGAAGAACAAAGAACGTGCACCTGCGAGGAACAACGTGATTCCATCTGCAAAGAACCCGGAGCTTGCGTCTGCAAAGAACCAGGTACCTGCATCTGCAAAATAGAACCAGGGGCTTGCATCTGCAAAGAACCAGAGGCTTGCATCTGCAAAATAGAACCAGGGGCTTGCATCTGCAAAGAACCAGAAACTTGCATCTGCGAAGAACAAGGGGTTTGCATCTGCAAAGAACATGAGCACTTTGCTCTTGTTTGAGCTGACGCTTCGGCAGGAGCACGAGACGATCTTGTTGGAAGTGTGCAAGAGGAATAGCTTCCCGTTTCGTTGACGGTCTCAGTACCTTGAGTTACAAGGTCTTTGGCGGCTGAAACTTGCCCATGAATCTGATACTGGCTCATTGCATCCTGACCTGATGATGAAAAAAAGGACAATTTATTAGATGAGTGTTAATTTTTTAAGGCCGGCGCCAAATAACGTAATCGGCACAGTCAGTGTTTTTTTAGAGACACATATTTGAAGCTTATTAAACAGGTTTCAGAAAACCAAGAATTTATAGGTGACGAAAATTCCAAGTCACAATATCTCATTGAAATTGTTTTTGAGACCTGCTGCTTCTCGACTTTAAAAATTTCCATTGAATATATGAAAAATATTAGAAAAAATTTTAAATGCTCACATAGAGATTGAAACGTAAGTCACAAGAAACGACAGTGGATAATGAAAACCTATAAATTTACAAGGTCAAGAGGAAAAGAACTGGACGCGTTGACAAGGTTTCCGTTTAAAAATATGCAGCGATTCCAAATCCCATAAATCCAAGCAGCATGAGGTAGAGCCGAATATCTTGAAATCACTCTCAGGCACAGTCACTCTCAGGCACAGTCACTCTCAGACACAGTCACTCTCAGACACAGTCACTCTCAGACACAGTCACTCTCAGACACAGTCACTCTCAACTCTCAGACACAGTCACTATCAGACACAGTCACTCTCAGACACAGTAACTCTCAGACACAGTCACTGTCAGACACAGTCACTCTCAGACACAGTAGCGTCGCAATGCTCTGATTGAATGCGCACAGTTCACAGTTCATAAGGTGTACAGTTTTTCCGATTGAAATTGTAAATCGATAGCTTTTAATGTTTAATTGGGGTTTCTCGATAGTTTAGTTTTAATTTCTTCCGTGTATTTAAAAATTTTTAAATTTAATTGTATTTGTATTTTATAAATTTGTTAAATTAAAGATGGAGTTAGTTTTCGAAACATGTTCAATGAATATTAGGCGACATTTCTAGGTTTTTTTTTTGCTTTTAAATTCTAGGTGCGATTCTTCTTGAAATTCATGTAAAATAATGATAGTTCATTAAATTAATGCAAGGAAGAAAAGTATTCCATATAGCAAACACTAACACTTAAACATATTTCTATCAATAAATACAACACAGATCAATGGTCTGAACTGCAGCGTGTGGTACTCACTTGCGGCGATAGTTTTGCTTTCCCGTGACTGGCTTGCCATTATATTAGCTCGATATTCTTCACTATCTATTCCGGTTCTATCACACTCTTTTTCCGGCTGTATCTGTAGCAAATGACTGGTAAGGTGTGCGGACGCCGTCAATTGACTTGAACTTCGATTATTTTCCTGCCAGTTGCACAAATTCTTACGCTGATGAGATTGGCAGAATATTTCATCATCGGGTCTTGGGATGGCCTTCGCTTCTGGTGGCATTGAACATGGAATTGAAAATGTTGATGCTGCTCGAAGAAGATACTTTTTATTTGAAGAAGCTGCTGGTGCATCGTTAGTGTTCGCCGAGGTTATCGCGACAAAGCAGGTTAGATCAGGAACTGTGGAAGCTTCTCCATCATTTAAGTTAGCCTTTTTCGACAAGTGAGAGACATGTGAAGTAACATCATGAGAAGTTACGCCACACGCAACATCACTGTCAGGCTGCTTCAAACTTTCTTCGGAAGTCGAAGTGTGTTGCATCCGTTGGCGCTTGCGACACTGAATCTGACGGACAGAACAGAAAAATTTGCCATTAGTTTTAAGTGGATGACTGTCACCGAACTGCAACCGTTTTAAAAAAATGGAATGCATAATTCTGCACTCCCAGAAAATATTTATATTGTTTTAAAGGTTATTCAATCTTCTCCAGTTGACCGTATTGGTGGTCGCATATTTTTCCGCTATCATTTACAACCACAAAATTCGATTCAAAATTCCATATAAAATCAATTAAACGAATTTTAATTAAGCTCAAATCTTTAACACATGCATCACTAAAATTTGAAATCTGTTCAAAACTCCCTCGATACTCCGACTTTATTTAAGTTCGTCGGCAGCCTAAAATTTTTCATTCAACCAGCACGGAATCTGGCTGACAACAACTATGGTCAGCAAGAAATGCTGCTTGTCATTTAATCATAGTTCGTCGGCACCCTAAAATTTTTCATTCAACCAGCACAGAATCTGGCTGACAACAAATATGTCAGCTAGAAATGCTGCTTGTCATTCAATCATAGTTCGTCGGCACCCTAAAATTTTTCATTCAACCAGCACGGAATCTGGTTGACAACAAAATTAATCTAGGTCAGCAAGAAATGCTGTTTGTCATTCAATCATAGTTCGTCGGCAGTCTAAAATTTTTCATTCAACCAGCACAGAATCTGGCTGACAACAACTATGGTCAGAAAATTTTTCATTCAACCAGCACGGAATCTGGCTGACAACAAATATGTCAGCAAGAAATGCTGCTTGTCATTCAATCATCGCCCACCTTGACCAGAGATAGAGAAACTCCACAGAGCAAAACCAGCACCAGCCCCGACCCCGCCACCACGCCGAGCAGAGACTGGGCAGAGTGCGACCCTGCGTCTGATGAATAATAAAACCTTCGTAAGTAAGTCTGTACACGTCTTGGCATGGCTCTCATTTTTGGACGTTTTTTACTTGTTATTTTCAAAGAAAAATGATACTTGTTATTTTCCAGTGACATTGTTTGTCACTGGTAATAATAATGTAATTTATTAATTTATGTATAATAATTGGACGTTTTTACTTGTTGTTTTCCAAGAAAAATGATCATTGTTTGTCACTGGTAATAATAATGTAATTTATAAATTTATGTATAATAATTTGTTTCAAACTATTGCATCACGTATTTCATCGTCATGCCATCTCGTTACTCCTTAAGTCAAGTCTAAAAGAGTAGATGATAAAAGTGAGCATCTTTGTTAAGTTTTATCTTAATTTAACTTCACTTGTTTTTTTAGAAATAGTTTAATTATAACTATAGTAATTTTTAAAATTTTTACATAGGTAACTAATTCATGACCGCGTTTCATAACACGTTTTAAACAACAAGGCTCGCTTTGACTTTACATTTTTTTCCATTTCAACTTTCCTGCTTCGTTTTAATCCCAAAAGCATCTTTAGAGAACTCGAATACAAAAAATTTCATCAATGACGGAATGCAGAATATTATCCAATGGCGGAATGCCCATTAACAGTCGGGGATAATTTAATTCACTATTAGCATTTACTCAACCTTTGTGAGTGTAAGAACGGGTAAAATTTATCAATCTTTATGCACGTGGCTTCCTTGAAAGTTGTTGCTTTGTCTGCAACACAGTTTCAGACTCGCTGGAAAAAATTGTGCTATGCCAATTAACGGGACGCTTAATAACGGTCATTGAAAAAAGTCGAATGTACATAACCTATACAAAAATTGGATTGAAATTCTATCAAGAAGCGCAACTTCAAATTTCAATCTTCTGCTGGTTTATCGTTCAATGTGGTCTTAAGCTATCGTTAAAAGAGACACCATGGTCAATATTTATAAAAATATATTTTTGTAAATTGCCAATGAAATGAGAAGTTGTTCTATAAGTCTATTAATATCGATTGAAAATGTATTGAATCCATAATAATTCCATAATTCAAGCCGTGTGGCAGTCGTGTGATTCTGTCTTGTGGACTACAAAAGCACGAACGGGTTACCTATTTCAAACGTCTTTCTACAATGAAACGGTAACATATTTTTCTCCGTAATTCAAACGGAAACACTCGTACATTGAATTTGGCCGACTACTTCCCCTCATGAAACTGAATTTTCTATAGGATGTTACTATGTCTCTTAGCCGCGTCGACGATAAAAATGATTTAATGACCATGTTATGTACGAGTACATTGATTTTGCCCGACTCATTCTCCTCGTGAAACTGATTTTTCGTTAGGATTTTACAATGACTCTTTTCCGCGTCGACGATAAACATGATTTAATGACCATGTTATGTTTTTTATGATCATAAATTGTAATACTCATTATATATGCATCGAAACTCACCTGTATCTAACCGGGTTTCTAGCTGCTTCACCGGCAGCTCCGGAGTGTTGGCTACAAGTCTGGCCACTCCACCACTCCTGCCTTTAGCGTTCCCTGAATAAACGATGAGTTGCAGCTCGGTTTCTCCGGATAGGCCTGATACTTGGAACCTTGGACAGATGAATAGAAGGTTTGTAGATATAATATTAACTGATGTCCACGGCCATTCTATCGCGTTCCAGCGTTATCGTGTCATGTGAGAGCGAGACTGCATATCATTAATGTATCTTTTGTGGTCTGTTCAGACCGATGCAAACTCGAGGTTGCTGTCCTTTTTATATTAATTATTTAACTGTCATTCTTTTTGAGCCTGAAGCTCCGCGTTAATGTTTGCAACGACATTAATATTCAGTTTTTTAATTGACAGAAAGAGTGTGCATCATTTATTTCAGACTTGATTTGATTATGAAACGAAGTAATACGCACCCGCCATGGAGTTATTTTATTATAAGACGGGACTAGTAACAAACAGGTTTAATTCTTTTTGAGAAATGTATTGAGATTTTTAATTACCGATGTATTAAGATGACTAAATTTCTATAGCATTGGAATTTTAAACTTAGATTTATCATTACGTCATCCATTTTTAATTTTTTCCGCATTGGAAAATTGAATCAAAATCAAAACTATTTAAGTCTACTTCGATTTTTCTCGCAGATAAAATGTTCGTAATTTCGCCCAAACCCTGTATATATCACTTTTCTCTATCAAGAACAACTTAACTTTATAAATTATATACTGACCTCATTTGGAACTTTCCACTGAATAATTTCTAACCTTTTTATTTGCAATTTTGCAATTTTCACCGATAATCCGGTAGGTAATACAATTCATTTCATTCGTCACATTTCATAAATAAAAACGTAACTTAAGCTCCTGGCTTTCCAATTTTTCCCTTCACAAATGCGCTCAATTCTCATATATTCGTTTGTTAAAATACAACAAATGATAAAATACAACGATAATAAAAATTTTACTAGAATTGTAAAATTTTAGCGCGCTACTCAAGAACTTGCCTCACATGAAGTGAAGCCAGCTCCATATAACAAATTTCAATATGGCTAATGGAAGCAATTTAATGTCACTGAACTGCTTTGAAAAAAACTGATAAGCTCAAAACGATCCGATCACTTTGGGTGTTTAAGTGAAAAATCTGTTGCCACCTTCTGGTCTCGAGCCATGATTCACAGTCGATGCCACGATTCGTCCATCGATCACTTCTGAAATTTCTGGATATTGGGTTAGTATTGCCAGCTTGGGGATAGACTTACTTGGGGGCTTTGGCAGTGATGTTTGCGTAGAGATGGTGAGGTTTGGTGGTGTAGGCCTCTAAAACAAACACATGCGGCAGGCCACCGTCGAATCCCGATAGGCATGTCACTGATACGCTACTTGAGGTCACGTTCACTAAAGTGCAGTTCGTAGGCGCCTCCGGTAAAGCTAAATAGTAGACATTAATTAGGGTTAGAGACTATATCAAGATATATACAAAGATAGTTAAGTAGTAGAAATTAATTAATGGAAGCTGTATCAAGATATATTCAGTGATAGAGCTAAATTGTAGACATTAATTAGGGTTATAGATTATATCAAGATATATACAAAGAAAGTTAAGTAGTATAAATTAATTAATGGAAGCTGTATCAAGATATATTCAGTGATAGAGCTAAATAGGTAGACATTAATTTGGGTTAGAGACTATATCAAGATATATACAGTGGGAGTTGAGTAGTAGAAATTGATTACTGGAGGCTACATCAACATATATTTAGTGAAAGAGCCAAATAAAATGTATTTATTACGGTTAGAGGTTATACATGTGTGTTAAATGAACAAATTATAATTGATAACATATAAATTTAATTATAAAACATATGGAAGGGACCACACAGAAATCGCTTTAAAATTTCGATTTAACTCAAAAAAAGAACTAATTATAGTGAATTTGCTTGTATATTCGGGATTTTAATAAAAATATAGATAATTATATTACAGCGATATACTGATTATAAATGTTAGAGAGGCAACCACTGCACTGCATAAAACTCAGAAAATGAATTTTGAAATTAATGAATTCACAATAATTGTTGGCTTTGTTTGTGAAGTTAATATGGGATTATTTATTCAATAATAAATTCCTCACGTATACGCTCCAGCAATCTCCAGTTAATTATGTCGAAGCATAAAGACCTTGCGTGTTTTTTATTTAGATTAAGGATCCGATTCTACAATCGTAATCTTTTGATAATGTTCTACGCTTATTTTCTGCATTCTTATGATATATACGCGTCTTAAAGTATATTTCATATTGCATTATATCGAATTAGTTTGAACAGCATCCTAATTCTCCTTGTCCAGCTTTGAAGATTTTTCCATTGATAACAAAATGATAGACCAAACAATGGATTCATGGCCAATTTAATAGTGCAGTGATAAGCATTCGTCTGTTATAAATTACCTCACTGATGTTTTATAAATATTACGTTCTCTTATTATATTTGAGTTTAATCCAGCGATATCCGGAGCCTAAATACGGATAATAAGTTTTACCGATGATTCATTCGTGTTTCAGAACCCACGTTGTTCCAGAGTGTACGTTTGTGTAGAGCATTTTCATATATGTTCATATTCTGTCGTGTTATACATTATGTCATATTCAGTGTACATATATTGTAGTGAGGTTTTGTACATATTATTCAGTATGTATTAGTCAGTATATATTTTAGTGACCCGATTCAATTTATCTTTTATCTATTACAGTTTTGTTAGTTCTTGCCGCAACATTATTATCCACAGGAGATATACAACTGAGAACATGAGGCGGATCCCCTGAAAAGAATCAGTATAAAATAAATTAAACGGCAAAATCAAATTCACATTGAGTTTTATAACTGGTTTAGACGTAAAAATTTTGAATTCACTCTCTTTTTAGCGCATTTTCTGATTTATGGAATAAATGCACTATTGTGCTCGCCATGTCCGTCCGTCCGTCTGTCCGTTCGTCCGTCTGTCCGTCCGTGACTTCACGTTTTCTTCGACGAGAAAATGCGCTCTCTGTCACTCACTGCAGTGAGTACTGAGTTATATTTTTCCAGTGTTGAGCTTCGCTTATGTACTCATGGCTACAGTCATCGAGAAATCCTCCTATGTATTTATTTTGTTCCACTTATATTTTACGTTTTCGATACGCTTGCACTGAGCGCGACCATCATTTGCAACAACTTTAATGTACCGAGCTCGAGATTTGGACTTCTTTGAATCGCATTGAATAGTGTGAGCTGCAGGTCTCTTCACCTCCGATGCCTCACCGAACAAAAACAGTCGTTGAAAAAAGAAGAGGGTTCAATTGGGATCGCCGCTCTACTTCAACTGCTATTCGGAATTTGCGGGAGATTCATACTCGAAAATTTGGTTTTCTCTTTCTTATTATATTGATATTTTCCAAAAGTCTGATGGTGTACTCCAACCGCGGAATTTGCGGCTGGTTGGAATAGCGGGAGATTCATACTCGAAAATTTGGTTTTCTCTTTCTTATTATATTGATATTTTCCAAAAGTCTGATGGTGTACTCCAACCGCGGAATTTGCGGCTGGTTGGAATAGCGGGAGATTCGTACTCGAAAAGTTGGTTTTCTCTTTCTTATTATATTGATATTTTTTTTCAAAAGTCTGATGGTGTACTCCAACTGCGGAATTTGCGGTTGGTTGGAATAGCGGGAGATTCATACTCGAAAATTTGGTTTTCTATTTCTTAGTATATTGAAATTTTTCAAAAGTATGATGGTGTGGGCTTTGAATGAATAGTGTCAATTTATTTCATGCGAAAATTTGCAAATGAACAATATAACGTTTAGATTTTGTGGTCGTGCAAAATTGATTCAGTAATTGTTATATGACATTACAAATCATGTCCAGCAGATAATAATGTTGTTTTTATTAGCTGCAAGCATTAAATTTAAACGAATTTTAATCATTTATAAACGAGTATATTTTATTTATTACAATTAAATTCGTATATTTGGATTTCAAGTCAACAGAATTTACAATCTAGTTCCTAGAATTCCAAGGTAATATTCTCATAATTTAACTTTGTTAACAGTTTTACAAAGGTAGTGACGGTATCAAATATATTATTTTATTTATTTATTTAACAGTTTTTAAAAAGGCAGGGATGACATAGAATTTAGCATTTTATTTATTTACTTATTTTCGATATAGCCTAATTTTTTATTCATAGAACGTTGCTCGCAAATTTTAATTTTTTCGCTAACTTTAAAATTTGTAAAGAGTAAAACGAAAAGTAAAGTGCAGCAAAAGTTAAAAAAAACAGCATAGCCTTGTTTATAATATGCAATACAATACGAAATTCAAAACTCAGCCCCGTGGATGATGCCCAGAATCAATTGCTGCATCAGCCGTTCTCATTTGCAGGAATTATCAGGAAGGTACTGACCTGCAGGAATTATCAGGAAGGTACTGACCTGCAGGAATTATCTGGAAGGTACTGACCTGCAGGAATTATCTGGAAGGTACTGACCTGCTGGAATTATCTGGAAGGTACAAGGTTCTTGCTGTTTGCCGACTTCATTGCGTGCGAGACACAGCAGAGTCCCGTAGTCCAAATCAGTTGCTGGAGTGTAGTGCAGAAAACTGGAACCACGTCCAGTGTCTCCTGGCAGTTCCAGGGAGTCTGCGCTGTTGTTGAACCACCACACAAAACCTGTCACCTGATCGCGCCGAGATCGAGGTTTTTAAATTCTTTGATCATGTTTTGTTGAATTTAGTAAAAGAGCGAGAGAGAAATGGAAGAATCTCGATATTGTTTTTTAAATCGACATGTTTGGAAAAATATGAAGTAATTTATCTAAATTTTGGAAATTTTAGGTATAAAATGAGTTCGTTTATTAATAAACATCTGCGATTTATTTTTCTGCCTACACTGTATCACTTTGAGAAAATATTTCGTTAAGTGATAAGAAATAATATTCCTGTTGACTATTTATTTGACTTGAGATTAGAAAAAAAGTCATATTTCAGCTGGTAGAATTAATTGTATATCAATCACGCGGAGATGGGTTCTGATACAATGTTAACATAAGAGAAATGAATAACAGAAATAATGTTCATTCATTCAGTGGTTTTCAATCTCAATCACACCATAGTAATTATATAATATTCAACAATAGTTTAGATTAAAATATTTGATAAATGAAAAACAATCATGTCACTTTCTTCAAATAATTTCGTTCACTGAAGTATAGTCAGTTCTACATTCGAGTTCTTCATTCGCTTAATACTTGTTAATTATAATTTGTTTTTAAAACTGACTACAAAAGATATCAATTTTGAAACTTGATGGTTATTTCACGAATCCAGGAACGTTGTTTCAGAATGAGTTGAGACTGCATCAGCCATCCACGACTTTTGAATGTTACTTCACATTCTCGAAAACTTGATACTGAACATCATTTCATTGACCATTCAGTTTTCAACCGGGAATCATGATTTCAATATTCAAGCAACAAAATTTTGAAAAAATTTAACTACTGATAAACGATAACGTAAAATCAACTTCATTGGAATGACAATGAGCAGGCTCATAAATTTAGATAGGATTGTATATACCGGTTTTCTGACTCAGGTATTTAAAGTCGACAAAAATCACTTCTTAAAAGAACTATGAAAAAGCCTTTTCCGAACAGACGTAAACAAAAAAAAATCTTATATTTATTCTACTTCAACGAAGCGCCTTTTGTTTGAAAAAACGAGTGTTGTTGGATCAGGCGTTGAAACGAACAACCAAGGCAAAGCTATCCAAACAAAGCGCTGTATGCTTTCTGTCACTTCTTATACTTCAATAATTTTTTAAAGTTCGAGCATACAATCTCTGTCGATAATTTTTTAAAGTTCAAGCATACAATCTTTGTTATCGGCGAGAAAAATAATAGCCAGTGAAGGAACATGATATTTATCAGATTCAATTGACGAATATTTGATCTACACGGTGATTCAATATTTCACGGTGATCCGATAGTTGTTTGAATTTGATTCATATTTTATAGTTACCTTTGATATTTAAATTAATATTCAGCTTTACGGTTCTATCTAACACATCGATAAGTTTATCACAAACCATTACCAAAGTCAATCTCATCTCACAAAAGAATGTCGACAACAACGCAGCTTTTGACCGGAACCGAAAATTTTCTTCATGAAACTAAAAAGATCTTAAGCGCCCCGTCGGTCTGATCCAATGAGCCTTTCTTAAGCACCACCGCCATAGATCACCTGGATTTTTTGGTTTTCCATGGTTGGTCCCTCGGGAAAAAATCTCGTGCAATTCAACGCATGAGCTGCGAGCAGAGCTTCTTTCTCTAGAAACTGGCTCACAATTCAGAGCTTCACATCCGACTTTCCGACGTCTGTTTTGCCCCACTAAAGAGGATTCTTAAGCAGTTCATTTCCGCTTACGATTTCTTACGTGTTTCTGATGCTACTCTCAGGAAATCACAACAAACTAATTTTGCCAGAGATAATAATAATGATTGAAATGATTTTGTCATAATTAATGACGGGCTACTATTTCAATTGAAGTACTTCCAACATCTAAACCAGCTAACATAGATTATATTTATTTTTACTTTTGTTAGCGATGTCAATTTCGTAAAAGTCCCCATAAATTGAGAAATATTGAAGAATATCTCACTGGAGGGAACGCGTCCACTTGACAGGTGACGAGTGCTTCCTCCATCAGAGAAACTCCGTACGTAACAGGCGAGTGGTTTCGGCACACCGGAGGATCTGGTAAATAAAAAATAACAATTTATTCTAGGAGAATATTTTATAATAATTTACGTAATACAATTCGAAAATTAAATAACTGTTTTCTCTAATTATTTTAATTTGCGACTTACTATTATATATTATCATATTAGGATCAGTCACTATGGAGCCGTCGCCTAATAATTTACGAGTGACATAACTACGCATTTTAGATAAAGTTGTCCTGCAAAACTTCCAAACAAATTTTTAGGAACAAACTTGCGACGTTTGGCATTAATTTTCCTATGAATGCTCAATGTAGAAAAATAATACTTGAATTTTTCATTTTCTGCCGCACAGAAGTTGGGAGCTAAGTAATGTCATTTGCAATTCCATTCAAATTGCAGTCATTCATATCACACGCAACCACATGCAAGTCTTTCTACTTGAGTTTCACGGCAGTAAGAGAAGTACTCACATCTGATGTTGAGCAAGAGTGGTGCTGATTCGGTTTCGCCTTGAATATTAGATGCGCTGCATGAATAGAGACCTGCCTTGTCCCTTGTGACTGCTTGTAGCACCAATGATCTTTCGGTGAGAAGCACTCCGGCAGAGACAGCTTCTGCTACTGTGCTGCCCTGAGGGGGCGAGAAATACGCAAAAATCTTAAATATTATAGGGATTAATAATCTGTGTTTTTGTGTTTCTGTGCTGCCCTGAGAGGGCGAGAAATACGCAAAAATCTTCAATATTATAGGTATTAATAATCAGTGTTATTGAGAAGCACTCCGGCAGAGACAGCTTCTGCTACTGTGCTACCCTGAGGGGGTCAGAAATACGCAAAAATCTTCAATATTATAGGTGTTAATAATCTGTGTTATTGAGAAGCACTCCGGCAGAGACAGCTTCTGCTACTGTGCTACCCTGAGGGGCGAGAAATACGCCAAAATCTTCAATATTATAGGTATTAATTATCTGTGTTATACATATAATATGTAAAGAATTCGTCATAAGCGTTATAATTTTTGAACTTTTCAGATCAAGAAATCTCGTTATGGGAGATTCAACTAAAATTACAGTTCTAAAAGGCAAACGAGGACACCATTTCTATCAACTATATTCTTTACATGTATTGTCAATAATAACACCTACTTTTAAAGTTAGTGCCCCTTGCCAATCGACTTATAAATAAACTAGATTCCATCTTTAACTTTAAATCAATAAAGTACAACACTGTTAGAAAAATGACTAACGCTTTAATCTCATTTCTTATTTGCCTACATATATTAGAGAGGCAAAAAAATACTGGAAAATATACTAGAATGCCTATTCCTCTTAGTGAAAATTTCCTTTATATTGAGGAACAAGTTTTGCCCCTGAATCAAAAGCTGAATTATAATCCAAAATAACGCCATTCCTAAATGATATATTGGCGAGCTTAACTAAATATTAAAGAGTTTTCATAAAATACTTTAAAATTCATATACAATTGTAGCGGCTTAGCATTGCAATATTATTTTAAGCGATCTGGCATGAAAGAACTGTGCACAAATGCTGTACTACTATTATAGAAAAGTTGAATCATTTTCCCGTCTATGAAGAATCGTCATGATTTATTTCAAAGGAAGCTTTACAACTCTTGAGCTGTTAACAGAATAAAACATCTGTTCCTATAGACGGCAAAATGTGAAGACCAAACTTCCGTATAAAAATATATTTACTCCAAAGCCGGCGTTGAGTTAAAGTTTAGGACAGAAATGAAGTTTCAGAGATGGCAAGAACAAAATTAGGCTTTCTTCTGTTGCTGCTCCAGCATTGATGTGGAGGGAAAGTCACGTAAACTGGTCGACGAATTCAGCAGATTTAATAATTTCTTTGCGACTTCAGAACATAAATATTCAGCTGAATTTATCTCTGCTCGTGTTCAGTTTTTTCATGGTACTTGTATTAAATTTTTATCGTTATTGAAGTATTGCGAATTCTTAGTAACGATATTTCGGCAAGAAAATTTAAAACGTTGGCAAGTAACAATATAAAGAACATTATTGCTTCTTCAGCCGTGGCATGACAAATGGACTTTTTGTGACTTCTGAAAACAACAATTCGGATCTGCCTTAAAAGTTACGACATTTCGACAGAGCATCATTTTAGGTTTTCTCCCTTAGAATTCTTGATTGAAATGCAGAAATAAATGTAATATTTTTCGAACGACAAATTCAAAATAAATAAATGTTTCATTTCTGAACGAGAAGTTTTAAATGAAGAAAGTGGCTTTGCTCTGCCTTAATTCTACTTAAAACTAAATTTTTCTGAAAGTATGAAAATTTTTGTATTAGCAGTGCATAAGAAACTCAAAGAAGAAGAGCGAATTCGCTGGTAAAGGAAAAGAAATATTTTTTATACCACAGTAGTAACACTAATTATTTTTATACTATATACACGAACTGCTTGACCTAATTTCGAACCCATGATATAATGAAAATTAAGCATGAAAGATCATAAAATTTTGATCTGAACTTGAGTATTTCGAAAAATTCACCGCAGATCAAGAACACCAGTAAATATTTTGCACTTTACTGCAGCGTAAATTGGCTACACGTTCCTCATTAGAAGTAAATTAAAGGGTTAAGTGCCTGAAGTTGCTGGCTCACTCAAGACCGACTTCCTCTAAAGGAACCAACACTTGTAATCCCTAACGACCTACAGCAAGTGATTCAGCAATTTTTGCTTTGAATCTGGATTAAATTTAATTGGCTTTGCATGAGTAATATCATTAGGAGGCCCTATAGGAATCAAGCTTGTGATCGAAGGTATCTTGAGTACATACTTGAAAATTATTAATTTACCACAAATTTGACAGCTTGTCTCAAAAACTATAAATATGAATTTATGTGTATTTCCCAACTTAAAAATTCGTCTTTGCACAAAAGAAAATTTTAGGACTTAATATGTGCGATCAGAAAAAGCGCATTCAATAATCATTTACCAGCAACTGCAGGTATAAAAATGTCGCACGACTCATCATTCGATGACTACAAACAAGTTGACACACACAATTCATGTTTACCCATTTCTTGTGAATTAATTGATGACTATCTATAACTACCTACAAAATTAAAAACCAGCCATTTGGATTTTGTTCGAGTTTTTTGGTCCCTCATGCAAATCAAATTCCATTTGGCTTGAGTAAACTGTCTCCGTTAGTTTATGGTCTAAGGAAAGAGATGCTAGGCGGGCGTATTTGCTACATGAGTTTGGGGCTCACAAGGCAAGACTAGTTTACAGAGATCAAAGGTTACCTCTGCTACCACAGAGCGCTTATATACGCGAACCGCAATGTCCAAGGGGACCTCATAGCGCTGACATGGTACAAGTATACGATGATACGATGCAGATGTTAACATTATAAAACATTATATACGCGAACCGCAATGTCCAAGGGGACCTCATAGCGTTGACATGGTACAAGTATACGATGATATGATGCAGATGTTAACATTATAAAGCGATGGGTTAAGTAACCTCGAGAATAATTCTTTGCTATAAGCTTATATTTAAAACTATTTCTATAGTAAGGGAGGGAAATGTAGTTACTTATACGAGTACATTACTTATTAAATTGCACCAAAAGGTAAAATTTCATAAGTTAATTTTGGGATAGAGTAATTGAAAAGATTATAATATTTTATAAAATAAATATTCAGTCAAGACCGAAAAAAATATGAGAATAGATTTGTTATCCTACATAATTTAATCTCAACGAAGCATTTCTTCTAACGTCCAGCATTGATCAAATTGACATAAGGATAAGAATTTTCATTTGTGTTCATTGCTACAAATGAAAACATATTCATAAATGAAAATATTATGTTTCTCTACATTAAAGTCTATTTGTTTTTAATTATTTATTCAATGACTTACTTTTGAATAAATGGTTGTTTTAAAGATCAAAAATTTTGCGAATGACATATGATAAATCTTTTATTTAAGAATCTCAAATTGACTGCTTACTTCACACTATAAAGTCTTTTTAAATCATTCTATGTGAAAAGTTAATAAAATTAATATGAATTTGTCCAATTCCGTTGATCAAACAAACATTGAAATTTATTGGTAAGAATTTCATCGTAAAATTTTTAAAGAAACCGTTGGTCTGTACAAATGCGGTCCATAAAATCTGTCAGCAACTGAATTTGTTGACTGTCAAAACCATTCAAGTTTGCGAATGCTGCTAAAAAAATCAATTTTAGCTTTTCGCCAGCATAATGTTTTGGAATTGAAGATGCAAGTGACATGAACATTTTATCATAACATGACGATTTATTTCATACATTTCGCTAAACTTCATCCTTCACTGGATAATTCTAACGCTCCTGAATTAAACATGAATTCGTCATATTATACGTTTATAAAATGGAAAAGCACAATCAATATTGTATCAGGTATAAATGTTTTAGCAGGATAATTTTTTACTACATTTTTCTAAACTGAAGCTCAAACGATTACCGTTCTCGAGTTGAGCATTAATACATACACGACTGAAGTGTTTACACCATTATTCTTTAAACATTAACATTACATTTATTTCCATTATATTATTTAAATTCATATACCTTGACCGATTGCATCTGTATTCCAGTTGTACCTCAATTTAAGAGTGCCACTTCACGTCATTTTTGCAATAAAAAACGAAAAAAACTTACAGCAAACAAGAAGATAATGCAAGAACGATGTCAGGTTAGAAAAAAGGAACGTTTACAGCGCGTTTTGGGAGCTCGTAATTTGGAAAGTATATCACCCAGGTACGTGATCACACGATATCAGACCCTGATTCGTGTTAGAGGAACTTTTTGTCAAGGGTCGAGTTAGGGCAACATTTCGGGGCAAGTCGTGTTAGGGTAAGTTTTCGTCATGAGTCGTGTTAGGGTAAGTTTTCGTCATGAGTCGTGTTAGGGTAACTTAATGCGACGAATCGTGTTAAGGGAGCTTTTTGTCACGAGTCGAGTTATAACAAAATTTCGTGGAAAGTCCTGTTATGGCAACTTTTCGTCGCGAGTCGTGTTAGGGCAACTTTTTGTGAAGATTGGCGCTAATGCTCATGACTTTTCATGCCAAAGTAATTAGTAAGTTCCTAAAGTGAGCTTCGCAAAGTAAAAGCAATGAGACAGCTCACCATAAGGAATGAAAGTATATCCCGCCTTATATATAATCACATATTCAAATTTATTTTCAATTCGAATTATATATATATCATTAAAAAATTTTTAGATCTCCATGAGATGTTCTGAATGTTGATTTCATCTAATCTGCGGTAAAATTTGAAAAAACACGTAAACGAGAATCATTTATCTTTCATAAACTGTACTTCAGTATACGAAGAAAAAATCTCGAATATGTATGAAATTCCATTGCACCCGCTACCAATAAAGTCAAATCATCATGTGAACGAACGGCAGCAAGAAGAACTGTCATAAATATATCTGCATAAATCGAGCAATACTGCTAGCCGCCCCATTAATGGATCACGAATGACCTTTCCTTTCCGAACATTAAGCAGACCGTATAGCTTGTCCGGCACTTTGGTGTAGCGCGCGCGAGGGCGAAAACACGCAAAATGGGCCCGAACTGTTAAGAGATCTTGGGAGCTTTCTGGATGCTGGGTAAAAAGCATGGGTAGTTGACTTGCTTGTTTTTAATAGGAACGAATTATTTAAAAAAAAAACAAGTCAAGTCACAAACAAGTCATTATAGGAACGAATTATTTTAATGTGCTGCATAGTGATCGATTGGATAATGGCATTGATTGCACGTTTGCGCTGAATCAAAAATTAAATTATAAATAAATATGAATTATAAATAATATGATAATTGAATATCAAATAATTATGTGTGACCGAAAATTGTAAGAGCACTGGGTACAGTATAAGCAATTTTAATATAATATGTACATCGTCCAAATTAGTTATTCAAACAAAATATTGGAATGAATAGGAAAAAAGGTGATGAGAAACTACACTATTTTTTTCAAGGTAACATGAATATTTTCAGCAAGCATAAATCATGCTAATGACTCATGCTTACTTACTCGTGAACTATTAAGCGCTATATTTAAATTGGACTTCCAAAGATGATTATAACGAATAACCGAAAATTTACTTCAGGTCTTAATTTGAAAGCAGGCATAATAGTTTTATTTACCAATATTTTAACTGAAATGCTTTGCAAAGAAACAAATTTGTCGTTTTCAAATGCATGTTCAACGAATGTTTTTTAATTATAATGTGACTTTAGAAATGTACTAGAACGCTCATAAAAGCAAGCTTGAATCCCACGCTGTAGTTGCAGGCTCATTTGATTTAATAAGGGATTTAAATATTATTTGCAACGCTTCATAATGAAGCAATATATGAACAGACCATAAAACAGGCTAACCTAAAACAGACCAAACATTCATACGATCCTCAAATGTCGTTTGGTTGGCTGGAACATTCAATGGTTCACTAAGATTTACAAAGCAGCAACAATTAATGTAGATTATGAGTTGCTTCCCCTGAAACCTCATTTATTATATAAATGTTATTTCAACTTTAGTGGTAATTAATTAGCCAATTCTGTGAGCTGAATACTGTGCACTGCTAGAAAAATTACCGTTAACGGTATTACCGGCGTTTCAGTGGCCGGGCGGCATGTGAAAAGAAACACCGTTTCGCCGTTTTTATTCTAATTTAACACTAGAAATCAGTAAAAACATCTGATAAAAACGGCGAAAAAATTCATTTTGACGGGGCGACCGGCCACTAGAACGCCACTGCATGGAACCGTTTTTTCACCGTTTTTAGCGCATTTTCTCATTTATGGAATAAATACACTATTGTGCTCGCCATGTCCGTCTGTCTGTCTGTCTGTCTGCCCGTCTGTCCGTCCGTCCGTGACCTCAAGTTTTCGTCGACGAAAAAATGCGCTCTCTGTCACTCACTGCAGTGAGTACTGAGTTATATTTTTTTTCTTAAAGTGATAGGAAAATTTAATGTACTCACGTTGTGGCGCCACTGGATCCGTCCCCTCATTGCTGGATTTGACTGAACAAAGCAGTCAAAATAAACGTCGTCTCCTTCCTCGACTTTTTGCAAGTCCAAATTCCGTCCAGGCCGAAGATACACTAGTGGAGCATCTGCGATAATGAGCAAGAAAGAATTAAGGGAATCAATTTTCGTAAAAAATTTTTCGTAAATTTTTTGTTATTTGTCCAAAATGAACGATTATTTCGGCTGCCGACAATAATTATTGCTATATTATTTTTTACCTTTATTTTATCAACGAACATATGACTGTTCGAGAACTTATGATTGTTCGAGAGTGTTGACTTATGATTTTTAATTTCTGAGCATCCCAGCAGAAGTTTTCTAAGGAACCTGAGGTATATTAAGTAAGTTCATTGTCATGTTTATTAGTTTTTTAAGCGTTACTGTAAGCAATAATGTTGCAGTTGAGCCCAAATATCACAAATATTTTATCTTAATATTTATCGTCAATATTCTTGTATCAAAAAACGTATACACACATCGAATGCAATTTTTAGCGCATTTTCTCATTTAACAAAAAAATGCACTATTATGCTCGCCATGTCCGTCTGTCCGTCCGTCCGTCCGTCCGTCCGTCCGTGACTTCACGTTTTCGTCGACGAGAAAATGTGCTCTCTTTCACTCACTGCAGTGAGTACTGAGTTATATTTTTATAACCTACGTTTGGGGTAAATTAAGAAAAAAATATTGTTGAAATCCGCAATATTTCTTCATGCTAAAAAAGCATTAGAAAATCGATTATACGCTTCAAGGAGCTTCACTATCGGCAAAATTAAGGTCCTCAAATTGAGAGGCAAAACAGCCAGGCTTAAATAGCAATCTGATGTATTACTAATTAAGTTTTTCGCTTTATGTATACACGGTTTTTACGGCAATGTGAATGACTTCAGATCTTATTTGGAGTCCGAGGGCTAATTTTTATAAAATTTGTTATTTACTTTAGAATCGAGTTTAATCTCATAGGAGTATTTTAAGATGATTGCAGGAATAAAATTGAATTGTCTATAAATTTTTACATGAAAATTTCGAATATTATGTTTGAACAGCCGTACGGCCGTACGCTGTTGCTTCTAGTAATTTCCATTCAGATGAAGTTTTACTCATCTGAATTGAACTGAATTTGATATAATAGTTTACTACTAATAACATGAGAAGTACTCATGTGATATGTGAGTAAACAAACTAACAATTCCCCTTTTTAATGGCATTCTACTGAAAAATTGTTCATGTAAGTAACGTTGACGAATTAAAAACTGGCCTTTCGTTCTTTGATTGTTTCGTCAGAAAATAATTCGGATCTGGGTTTATTTTTATTACGATTGATCGTTTGGTATACTTATCATTATGAACAGTCATCATGACATACGATGTTGATTTTCCAGTTGATTTAACATAGAATACATGACATAAATCATTTCATAAAAATTTCCTCAAGAAAATTTCAGTTCGAACTCGGCATCACAAGAGCACCTCTTATAAAAGAAAATTCAATTTACTTCTTGTAAACTTGCCTTCAATAACTGATTGATAAATTAAAAGACAATGTTCAACGAAGACAGTATTTTACACATCAAGGCTAGATTTGCTGGCTCAGCATTAATACTCACATCTGACAACAAGGACTGTACTGGCAATCATTGCTTCGTCATCATGCAAGTCTGGGCTGCTGGCTCAGCATTAATACTCACATTTGACAACAAGGACTGTACTGGCAATCATTGCTTCGTCGTCGGGCAAGACTGGGATACTGGCTCAGCATTAATACTCACATTTGACAACAAGGACTGTACTGGCAAGCATATCTTCGTCGTCGGGTAAGGCTGGGTTGCTGGCTCAGCATTATTACTCACATTTGACAACAAGGACTGTGCTGGCAATCATATCTTCGTCGTCGGGCAAGGCTGGGTTGCTATCTTAGCATTAATACTCACATTTGACAACAAGGACTGTGCTGGCAATCATTGCTTCGTCGTCAGACAAGGCTGGGTTGCTGGCCCTGCATGTCAGTGGCAGGCCATCATGTGAGGCGTTCAAGCTCCAGCGTAGGATGGCTTTTGATTCATTGCCTTCTCGCCACACCTTGAAACAACATCAGAAATTCATGCAAATTGTCGGGCTGACATGCGTATAATACATCTTCTCAGAGGAGGCTTGCTATTGCATTTCCTTTCTGGGGAAACGCAATTGCTTCAATTTCTTCAATTTGCTTCCAAGAATATTTTTTCCATTTTCAGCCATTATATATCTGTATTTTTAAATATCAGATTATTTTCACTTATTCCACTAGTAGGATTCATGCTTTTACTATACTCCTAATACTGCATTTGCAGTTTAAAGTATTAGGAGCTTTTTCACACTATAATTTCAGATTTTCTAGACTATGGTTATATCTTTCAATCACTATAAATTCGAAAAAATACTATCCCACTTTAATAGTCTATATGTTGAAATTAATAATGTCACTACGACTCTGAAATTGGGTCTATCCGACGGAGGTTCCCAGATCATATCATATTTTTCACTTGCTGAAGAATCGTCAGTGATGCATTAGAATATATGCAATGAACTTCACTTGAGGACATTGGTTTTAGAATTATAACCAATACTATCTTTTGAAAAGTTTATATTTGATTAACTTTCGGTTTGTAAGACTGAACACAAATTTTTTAGACATTTAGGGATGACTCCAGCGTGCACGATCAGTGGCCAGTGGCCCTCACCTTCCCTCATGCAGAATAATTCACACCACCTCGTCTCAACTAAAAATTAATTAGGACTCTCACCGAAACTGTTCCTGTCCCTTCCTCTAACGTCGCTTTTACATGGTTGTCGAGCGACTACGACAGAAAGTGATGTTGTTCGTTTTTTTTCTGAGAATAAATACTGTTCATATAATGACAGGCTGAGGAATGCCTGTAATATCAATCGATAAACACATTGCTGTCACATCACTTTCTTTCAAATAATTAACTGCATCAATAGGTGCCAGAAAGGACAGGGCCAATATATTTACTGACTTTAAATTGTTAGCGGAAAAATTAATTTTGAGACGTTGTCAACAAAGCATGCCTGCTAGGTTGTAGAGGCCCAGCTTAATTATCAATCCAATTCAACTGTTCTTAATTGGTTAGTTCGATTCAACAGTTCTTACTGTGAGCGCATTTTAAGTAGGGTATAGATTTATTATCTAGCTTTAGAAAGAAGTTTAACTTTCTTTGGTACGGTCGTTTGTACCTAGGGTATTGCACTGTTAAACAGTGGTGAGAAGATGTATTATTTTAAGGAATGTTGTAATTCAGAATTTATTATATATTAAACTATACCTTCATCCCAAATATTACTTCGTTTGACTTGAGTATGCCATGTTTTTGTAGCTTCTCAATATTGTTTATTTGCATGCTTTCAGGAATGTTCAAAGTTTCACGCGTGACTGGCTTGCTCAAACTTCTAGTCTCACGATCGACAAGTTTTAATAACAATCGATGACCAAGCTTACAAATTTTGGTAGGATCCATTTTACAAATAGTCGCACATTTTTATCTGTTTCATTGTGTTTTTATATCTAATTATATGTTGAACGGAAAAGACTGTTATTCATTAAAACATTTCATGCAAAAATGGTAGTCACGAATAAGGTATACAATTTGGATTGGAAGTCAGTAACACAGTTTTTTTTATTTATTTGCTGGAAACGGGATTTAGATTTGTGATGGTAATATTAGATTTCTTGCAGATGTGCCCTCATCTGTTAATTTGATAATGAATTAAAAATTTAAAAAATTAAAAAAAATAATATACTGGGGAAGTTGTTTGAATATTTGGGTGCTGACCCTGAACGAAACCTATTCTTATCATGTCATCAAAACTTCGTCAATATATTCGATTCTGAAGTGCATTCAGCGAAGAATTAATTGAAATTTCTTTCTTTCTAGCTTTCATCTTATCAGCTTTCCGTATTTTAATTTGCTAAGGCCAAGGTAGAGAGTATCAACCTTTTTTTTCCATGAACGGAATACATGAAAAGGTATACATTGTCATCTGTTTTCTAGTTATCCACTTCTCACAGAGTTTCACTACATATGCTAGATTTCATTCATGTGATAGAATTAAATACACATCTATTATTGAATAAAATTTACTATATATTTGTATAGTAATTCACTTGAGTTCTCTACATCAGCTTTGGCACATCACAGGAGATAGATCACGAGTTAGCACATAATCTTTATTACAGCCGCAGCAATCAGTATGTACAAATGATATATGGATTAAAAGGAGACTTCCGACGAGGATGAGATCGTAAAGTCAACAACCCTAATATCTAAAATAACTCGTCCCTAGTAAGTTCCGGTCCGCAATAAAGTTAGATCCGTAATGTCGGGATAACCGCTATTTTGTAGCATAAATGACTAAATCCTTACAATATCTGAATGCCCACCAAGCTGTTGGGTACTGTTATTAGTGATGTATCTAAATACACATCTATTATTGTATAAAATTCACTAAATATCTGAATGCCCACCAAGCTGTTGGGTACTGTTATTAGTGATGTATCTAAATACACATCTATTATTGAATAAAATTTACTATATATGTTAATGCCCACCAAGCTGTTGGGTACTGTTATTAGTGATTTATCTAAATACACATCTATTATTGAATAAAATTTACTAAATATCTGAATGCCCACCAAGCTGTTGGGTACTGTGAGTCTGGTCAAGTTACTCCACCACGTCAGTACGGCAGGGGGGCGGGAGCCCCAAGACACACACGTGATGTCCGCAGAGCGACCAGCGATCAGCGAGTCTGGGGTCTGCTCGATCCGGATGCCCACAGGTGAAACTGGAAATAGTTTAGGAATGCAATTTATTTATTGTTGGTGTGATTCGTTTTTCTAATCTGTCATTTCACAGATATTACAATTTTTCTAATCTGTCATTTCACAGTCATTTCAGAATTACGCAGCAGCATATAAAAAATTCGGAATCGGAATCAGAAATCTTTTCACGAGGCAAATATTTTTTAGAATTTCATTTTATTCCATCGACTATTAGATTGAAATATCGTGGTGACAAAAAAATTAAAGCGTTAAATATATTATTTTAGACTTTTACTGGTGCCAGCAAGTGACAACACGGTACATGAAGTCAGTCACATAAGCAAACAGAAAAATATAGCATTTACTCTCGAATGAACAGGCTACCAAACTGTTGCTTGTATTTCAGCCATTATATCAATTACTGCTAAATTTTTCAGCCTTTATTCCATTTAAACCTGGCTTTTTAAACAAAATTTCACTTTGCCTATACTGCAGATCCGAATCTTCTTCCTACATCGTCGTCCATTAGAACCTGGAAAAATATAATAATAATTAAATCCCAAATAAAAATTTTACTAATATAAATAAACTTTAAACAGTAATTTACTCACGATTCATGTCAAGTGTTGCGGTCGTGGAGACAGGAGGCAGCGTCTTGCTGTTGTAAAATAAAAATGAAATAAAATAAATTCTTCTAATGTGAGTAAACTTTAAATAGTAATTTACTCACGATTCATGTCAAGTGTAGCGGACGTGGAGACATGGGGTAGCGTCTTGCTGTTATAAAATGAAAAAAAAATAAAATAAATTCTTCTAATGTGAGTAAACTTTTAATAGTAATTTACTCACGATTCATGTCAAGTGTTGCGGACGTGGAGACAGGGGGTAGCGTCTTGCTGTTATAAAATAAAAATAAAATAAAATAAATTCTACTAATGTGAGTAAACTTTAAACAGTAATTTACTCACGATTCATGTCAAGTGTTGCGGACGTGGAGACAGGGGGCAGCGTCTTGCTGTTGACGGCTGTGCACTGAACTCTTGTCATAAGAAGGCTCCTACTGATGTCGTATATCGTCAGCCAGCCTCGAGCATCGGTCCACAACTTCGTAGAAATATTTGAGTCTGAGTCATTGGTCGAAAAACTCTCCGTAATTCTTTTATCTTCCGATATTTGCCCAGATTTCCGGCGCGTCTTGATTGTTTTCCTGTTATCAAGATTTTTTCTACTCGCGTCATCGTTTTCGTGGCTTGAATGCCGGGACTCAGAGCTTTTTGAAAAAGAATATTTGAATTGGGTTCCTGATTTTAGTCTCGTCGCTCTGATATTTTTCGGGTCGAGGTCTTGGTCATCGCGTAAGAGCTCGCCGTCCAAGTACCACGTAATCTTTGCCGGTGGGATACCTGAAAAAAACGTTAGTAATATTTTTTAATAAGAATTTTTAACCATGAATGCATCGTAGAATTTTTATCCAGACGTTGGTTCAGATCTGAAAAAGAAATTGTGAACCGGTGACTTCAGACAGAAGCTGAATAAAGTAAAAGATATGAGCCTTTTAGAGGAAACATGTTCGCTGTTATGTAACTCGAGGATACTAGTTTCTATTTGATGCCCGATGAAAGTTTAAAAGTAGTTTTTATGTGAGATAAAGCTCCGACTGTGACTGAAAATGTAAATGGGCAAATTTTTCATGGTTTCTACTCCACTTTTTGGGACCCGAAGCTTTCTTTTCTTTTGTACGAAGTGAATTCAGTTTTGAGTCATAGGGTTAACGATGAATCAGTGAGATAAAGAAATCTAAAATTCAAAACTGATAATTTGAACCTAGTCTAAATGTAAATAATACAATTCTATCTTTCAATCTTTCAACAAAGTTAACAAAAATTTTTTTCGTGATTGACAAACATTGTAGAAGAATGCCAGAAAATGATCTCGCATTTTTAAATTTGCGTGCAGTATATCAACACGAATGAAGATGCGTGCTAGTATCTAAACTTAATTATTTGGTAATCAAAACTGACAGTTGAACTTTGTGTGTCCATCAGTGTTTCAAAGCATCAAGTTTTCTGTCAAGTCTTCAGCAGGCGACCATGAGCTTCAGCGTCCCTAATTAAACTTCTCCAATAAAGCTGGAAAAAAATAAAGTTGTGTCTCAATCAACGTCAATTTTGTGTCGCATTTTTACAGTCGGTGAAATATGTTCATCTGGCGTTGTGCTGAGGCGTTGCCGCAAGCGTTACTGGCCTAAACTTATCAAAGTACGAGAAGTTTACGAAAACTTTTGCTTATTCCATAGGGGAAAAGTTCAAAAGATTTCTAGTGACAATTTTTCCTAGTCAACAACCAGCTTATGCAAATTATGTGAGCCACGTCAAAAGGCACAATTTCTATATTTTTTTTGTAACAAAGTTTTAATTCATTACTTTTTTACTAGCAGTCCTCCAGTCTTTTAGTGCATAAGACTTGACAGTATTCACGTCTTTGGTCATAACTATTTTATTTCTGTTGTTTTCATAACTTCTGCAGGTATTTTATTTCTGTTGCTTTCACCAGTAACCTCATCTGCTTATTCCATTGACTGGAGAAAGAGATCGATTTAGTTCCGCTATTTCAAAGTTTCCAAAATAATTTAAATGTTTTTCAATTATTTCAAGTTATCGCAACTGCACAATAAACGCAGTGGAATGGACCGTGAAATATACACCACACTGAAATAGGATAAGTTTTATTTTATACTTTCTCCATGCTGCCTGATTTTATAGTAATATATTAGAAATTCACTTGTTTTGATTTCGATACTTAAGAATGGCCGGTATATTAATAAATATTTTTTGACATATTATTGCTACTAGGAACGAGGCGACGATATATGTGTCTATTTTAGCGGATATAATCAGAAATTAGAAGCTTGAAAATGGAACTCTGTAAACTGTGCAGAGACCGATCATTGAGAACTGTAGAAGTCAATTACTGAAAATTTTGGCGACCCTATACTGAAAACTGTAGGGACTAGTTATTAGAAGCAGGTGAGGTTGAAAACTGGAAGCTGTTGAGTTGGGGTATTGGAAACTATAGAAGCTGATTACTGTAAATTGGGTAAACTAATAATTGGGAATCGAGGTTATTTATCAGAAACTATCAACACCGACTATTGGAAATGGGTGAGGGCTATTATTGAAAATTTTGGGGTCGATTTTTGGAACCTGTAGAGGCTGACTATTGGAAATTGTAAATTGTAGATGCTGATTATTAAAAACTCTCGAGGTTGATTACCAGAAACTATTGAAGCAAATTAATTGAAAAAGGTGAGACCGTAAGTAATGACAGCATGGTTGCAGTTTTATCTCATTAAACAAAGCTTGGGATAGTTATACCATGAGAATATTTCAAGACCGTAAAACTGATCTATTGACTCAATTGAAATCGCCCTCATCTGATATGGATCTAACATTTCTGGCAAGCAAGATCAGGCAATTCAAATGTGTGAAGCCTTAGGCTATGCTATCAATCTTGTTTTTATAGCTAGTTAATTGAACTTCTATGGTGTATATTATATGATCAAGCTGTAACTAAGTGCTAAGTTCTTGTGCTCAACTTACTTCCGTTGATAAAGAAGATAATCAGGCTAAGAGTGGCTTCTGTCACTACAAAACATCGTCATCATTTACACAGCATCATCATCAAGACATCGACTTTGACATCTTCATCATCTACAAAACATCGACTTTTTGACTTCATCATCATCTACAAAACATTATCATCTTTGAATAAAATCAACTCACCATGGAAAGCAACGCAGGAAATTGTAAGGTTGTCGTTTTCCCTCACGGGTCCCAGGACGCCGGCCACTGGCTGGCCGTCCTCGCCTTGTGTCAACTCTACGAGCTTAGGAGGAGCTGGGGTGAAGAATAACGATTAGTTATTCATTTAAAGCACGCGCAAACGTAATTTGCTGTTAAAATGATTATTTCTGACCATTTTATATAATTAATATCAGAATCAAACAATTGACTCACGCAGCGAAAGAATTAAAAGTCAAGCAGTTGATTCATAGCTTGAAATAAATTTCGGCGAAATTGAAACCAATGTCATCGAAATCCAAAGTGAGTAATTTAAATCTGCACAAAAAAGCTTCAATAACTTCATAAAAAGAAAATAAACATAAGTTCCAAGTGTAAGTGTTGAAAGTAATCTTTTATATTTGGCACACTGAAATATCTCAACATAATTCTTTTTAAAAGTTTTTGACGGTTTTAGTGAGACATGTTTTTTTCGTAAACGGAAGCGGAAAAATCGGAGCAACGCAAAATATTTGGGCTTCAGGCCTAGCAACAAACGTGACGAAGAAAATCCCATAAATCTTCGCTCTTTGAACCAATTCGGACACCGAAGGATAACTGGCTCAAGGAATTTATGTTCAGGGACAGCTTTGTATCGTCAGAAAATTCTGAAAATCTGCTGATTTTTCTTCGACTATATGGCAACGGATTGCAGGCGGTAAATGGTGACTGACGTAAATTTGGAAGCCAATCAGGAAAGGTTAACAGAAAGTTATTTTGGCGATCGCCCTAGGAATAAATTTTGAATGGCAATATAAGGCTGGGTTTCCACAAACTAAATATTTTTACCCGAACAATTTACCATTTAATTTTATATGAGATCACGCACATGAGGAAAATTTTCTCCGAAATTAATTTATGTTCAATTAATCTTAATCTGGATTTTCTAATGTTCACAGAATTGCGTTCAGTTTGGGTACTTAAATAGTAGGGTAGTAAAACTAATCCTTAGTATTCATGAGAGAGATAAAAATTGTGCCACTAGGCGAATAATTTCAAAAATTAAAATCATTCCCAAGTACCTTGGAATCACCGGACAATTTACACGTGAATCAACCATGTTGGAGATTTTGACTCGCGCTAATCAGCATATGACACCATTAGGCTATTGAATGAACTGTTTAGAGGCTTCGGATTTGAAGTTGAAGCCAAACTCAATCCGTAAGTTTAATTTCAGAGGGTCCGTTGCGACTCCTGCATTATTAGGCTAAGTTTGTGTTGATTCAGTAACGAACGGGTAATTAGCAATCGCACGTGCTTTAATCAGGTTCAACAATATACTTTTTGCGCTTTAACCAGACGTTTACCAACCTAATCTTACCTAATCAATACCTAATTACGCATGCCAAATTTTTGAGTCAAATATTCACGTATTGCATTTACTCTAATATTGCTATAAATTTTAGTATATTAATTACATTGGAGTGAATTTTTATTTGGGTAGAAATCTTCCACGAACATCGAAAGTTGGTTTCACCTTCGAGTGGTCCACGTGAGTAATATTTGTAACCAAATTGCTTTAGATTATTTTCACAGCATTTCGAAAATTACTAATAAATCTAAATTATCATGTCAATAAAGCTTGTACTCGAGCTCAGCTCTCGCTGAATACCTCGTGGCAGACCTGGGCCCATACTTTCATAAAAAGTTAATTAAGAGATCGTAAGTTCATCAGCCAATCATTGACGGCCTTTCAAGCAAAATCCACCAATCATAGACAAGAAAATAGAGCGTAAGTACTTACGTTCACTTAGCGAATTTTGAAAGTATGGCCCCAGGAACAGTGAACAATACGTAACATCGGTTACGTATTGTTCAATCGACATTTTCAAATTACAACTTTCGTATCACCCCATTATATTGTTTATAATGAGCTCAGTGTTCGACATATGCGACCGTCTCGTGTTTACGCCTTTGCCCCTGGAGCCAGTTTCCCTTGGGCCTCTAACTTCCCTCGACCGTAACAATAGAATTACCAATTCTAATTTTAAATTGAGCAGCATTTTACGCTAGAAATAAATTACCAGCTTTTCCGTCACCCAATATTTTTTAATTGAAAAGAAGCGCGAACTAACACGTGCGTGTCTAATGTGAACTGTAAATAAAAGTTGGCTGCAGTGATACTTTTATAACAGAATTCTACTTATGCTAGTGAAAAATAGTGCTCCCACGTGCAATAATATTTTCTATCCCCAAATGGGGATAGAAAATGCGTAAATTTATTGTGATTTATTTGATATGATAATGGTGTGATTATGCAATGATAATCAATGATGTGATTATCATTGCATACGTAAATTTATTGTGAAGCAATAACTACTGCTTGCAATGCAATTAATGCTTCGTGTTTCATTGTAATTATCACAGCAATTTATCTGAATTAAAGTAATGTCCTTGGCAATTTATCACTCACTTATGACGGTAAGGTTCACTCTGGTGATCATCGTGGGAGCTTTTTGGAAATCTACCCTGCATTTGTAGGCCCCACCGTCGCTCTGCTTCAGATGACGCAAGAAGAGATGGGCGCCTGGACCAGAGTTTCTAGCGGACGCGCGAGTGTGAGGGTGAAACGAGGCTCGGTTCTCTAGAACCTCGGAGTCATACCAGTGCTTGCCTGCTGGTACTTCCCTTACGTCGTAACTTGGGGAGGGGAAGAAGGAGATTTTATTTCGTCAAGTAAGAAAATAGTATGCTGGTACTTCCCTTACGTCGTAACTTGGGGAGGGGAAGAAGGAGATTTTATTTCGTCAAGTAAGAAAATAGTATGCTGGTACTTCCCGTACGTCGTAACTTGGGGAGGGGAAGAAGGAGATTTTATTTTGTCAAGTAAGAAAATAGTATGCTGATACCTCCCGTACGGCGTAACTTGGAGAGGGGGAGAAGGAGATTTTATTTCGTCAAGTAAAACAAATATAATGGCAATTTCGGTAAAATAAAAATAGAAGAATAGTATGCTGGTACTTCCCTTATGGCGTAACTTGGGGAGAGGGAGAAGGAGATTTTATTTCGTCAAGTAAAACATATATAATGGCAATCTCGGTAAAATAAAAATAGAAGAATAGTATGCTGGTACTTCCCGTACGTCGTAACTTGGGGAGGGGGAGAAGGAGATTTTATTTCATTAATGAAAACAAATAATGGCTATCTTGATATAATAAAAAAATAGTAAAACAATTAATCAAATGCGATGAAAAAGGGAAAAGTGTATCAATGTGATTTGAGTGAATAATGCTTTATTGTTCACATTTCATATTCTGCATTAAAAACTCAAAAAACAATTGAGTTTTTATATATAAAATTTATATTAACCAGTAATTATAGGCGCACTCGCGGAATTAAAATGGAATAAAATCCTATCCCACTTTAAATGCCTAAACCTCATGTATCTCGTTAAAAAATGCTTCAATTCGAATCAAATGTACCACTCAAATTATTATAGACAAGTCTCCAAAATCCTTGTAAATTCAACATTCCTACCATCCAGTACATCGTTTTTGAAGTTTTTTGTTTGAAGTTTTTGAACTACTCGAGGCTGCCGACGAAGTTTGGAAGCCTTTCTATATTTTACGCGGGCGTCGGCAGAGTCAAAATGGTCTTATTTGCGATAGATTTCAGACCCGAAGTTCAATTTCCATGGTTGCATGAAATACGATAGTAGACATCAGCAAATTGCCTTGGGAATCATGATCAATGCAAGAATATTATGTATGCAAGATGATCAAGACAATGTCTGTGGATGCATTGACGAGTGACATATACGGATCTATAGGAATGGCCTAGAATTGCCGTTAGTTGGCAAAGGATTAAAATAAACTTTTTTTAAAGAAAGGATTTATTATCACATTGATAAAATTACTTCTCATGCTCATTTGACTTGCATTCGTCGCTTTGATAAAACTAGAATGCATCTCCTAACCTATTATGGGGCCCAGCAAGTCAAGTTATCTGCAGAACATCAATCAGCTAGAGAATCAGTGTGGTGCGAACTTACTCTAAAAGGCAAAGATAGCCTCCTCATAGGCGTCGTGTATAGATCACCAAACAGTTCTTCTGATAACGATAAAGTACTAAACAGTCTTTTACCTGTCTCTTATACACATCTAGATGTGTATAAGAGACAGGTCTTAAAATGCCTAGCAAATTACGGACCAGGCAATAAGTCCAGCAGCTATCTCAATCAATCGTCAGCTATGGAAAGATCGGGTTCCAAAGGCCGGATCCCTTGTGAATCAAGTCACGAAAAGTTCAAGAATCGGCAACAGGCCATGGGCCTATTTCTTCAGCGCCGACACTTCTATTCTATTCTATTCTATCTCAGTAATAACCATATCTATATATAAAAATTTTTTGACCGAACCATTCTATCATCATATTATATACAATCATCACCATTAAGCATATAAATGACTTCCAAAGATTACGCAGAAAAAAAGAAAAATTTCATTTCGTAAGAAAGTAAATTTAGCATGCATGTAAAAACGTACGGTGAACGAAATGTCGTGCTGCTTCTTTCAACTTTTTTAATGAACATTGCAGTATAGATAAATGTTTTAAAATAATTACGAATTAATAGTGACCAAACGTGCGAGCCACATTCCAGCGGGCAAGAATTACATGTACTGTGACTAAATTGTAAATTGATTTTCGCGAGGCTTTGCATTGAATTCATTGAGAAAAATAGCAGTCTTGATATCGGCAATAATAAATGACCTATAACAAAGGTAACGGGAAGCAATTATTTCGTTGGATAAATATTTTAAGAAACAATTATTAGAAAAAAATTTTAGGAAACAATTATTATTAAATATTAGGGGAAACAATTATTTCGTTAGGTAAAGGACCTCGCAACATGACCCTGCTTGAAACAAGGAGCGCGATAGACCTCAAATTAAAACATCTAAGATTATAGAGAACGAACATGATATAAGTCATTGTGTCATTAAATAACGACCAGTAACTTGACAAAGCGAGAAATTCGACTGGAAAACGATATAGACCACAGTTTGCTTGTGCTTCTGTTCACCAAAATGCAACTTAAAAGATCAAGAGCACGCTCGATGAAAATCCGTTATTTCATTAAATAAATACCTGTAAATGGGAGTAGCGAGACCCTGTTTGAACCAGAGCACAAGATAGACCACAGTTTGCGTATAGTTCTGTTCGCTAGAATACAACTTAAGAGATCAAGAGCACGCCCGATGGAAATCCAGTATTTCATTAAATAAATACCTGTAAATGGAAGTAGCGAGACCCTGTTTGAACAAGAGCACAAGATAGACCACAGTTTGCGTATAGTTCTGTTCACTAGAATACAACTTAAGATATAAAGAGCACGCCCGATGGAAATCCAGTATTTCATTAAATAAATACCTGTAAATGGGAGTAGCGAGACCCTGCTTGAACCAGAGCACAAGATAGACCACGTCGTCCGCAGCAACCGTCATGTTACAGCCCAATTTCGCAGACCGCCCCACGGCGGACTCGACAGTGGTCGACGCGTCTGTCATAAAACCAGGCTAACGTCGCTCATTTGCTCAAATAAGGACGGGGAAAAACAAGAATAAGTGCAGTTTTTTTCTGGTGGGAATGAGCAGGTAGTCGCAGGATGATAATATCAAGAAAAACTTGGGGGTAAAATGGAACACATAACAAATTTAATAAAATGTCCTCAATTTCTAATTTGCAAAAAAGATAGAATTTTTATGCTTTTATAAGGAAAAATTTATATTATTCAAAGTATTACTATTTTAGAGTTTCTCTTTATTGTATAGTTTCGCTTTCCTAGATTTGGTTCAGGTATAATTTGGGTTTCAAGATAAGCGTCCAGTTCATCAAATCTAAGCAATACTGCCGTCAAGCCTATTATATTATGCTGTAATATTTTAAGTTAAAAACAATAAACAGCCCATAGGAGCAAACTAATTGAAACACAATAATATTAAATTATCTTGTTCAAAATTTCATGGTATCATTCAACGGTTCCTATTATTATTCTTATTATGCAAGTAACTTTCAATTTTTATTTCAAAATCATTCAAGTTTAAAATTCAATATATATTTCACTTACATTTCTTGTCAGGTAAGAACCCTCCTTGACTCGTCGCAGCCAAGAAGTCGATCAGGAGAACGATCAACCACGAAGCCTTCATGCCTGGGCATTTATCATCTACAGAAAGACTGATTGCCTAAACGGAAATAGGAATTTATCCATGGGAAAGTTGCAGTGAATATTCATCCTGTAATGGTATTAAACAGAAACAATATTAATTATTACGGAAAATCGATGCTTTTCAAAAGTTATCACAATGTGACTAATCTTATAAAATTCACTTTTCAGTTTTTAAATTAAGCCATATTGTGATCTATTGAATATTTCTTTACTACGACGACTCTGTAAAACAGGAACATGGATTAAACCTGCCTCAACGTCTAGAATTTTGCATACATAAATATTTACGCACTCTGATCTTTTTTAAAAATTCCGTTTGGTTTGTTCGAGATTCGTTTGTTATTGAAGAACGACGATGCGATGCAAGGTTTTTAAGAGTTCAGCTCTTTCTTTTTGTGACAGGGAAACTTCCGTTATAGACTAATTGCTATTAAAAGTAATAAAAACTATGCATTTGATCAGATGGAATGGGATCTCCATTCTTAATATCAATTAAAGCCGGACTCGTTGAATGGTTCGCAAATACACCCTGTTTACTATCAAATCATTTGCACTATCTTATAGTCAAAACTGGGCACGTTGCCCGAACCTGGAGAAACATTTTCTTGCAAGCTCATTTATTTACTGATAGATTATTTACATTCAATAAATTATTGCATGTATTATTGAATGTAACATATACCTGTCGCATATCAATAATTCAAAGTATGACTCATCGTAGAAGGTTAAATGTTGTGTCGCAGAGGAGAAAAAAATTTATGTTTTGTTTTTATGCTTATGCACATTTATAGAACTTTTCCATTTATCATAACCAAGATTTGAATTTCTTCAGTAAAAACTACGAAATTCATTGCGGAGTGGAATGTAAATAGCCAACTTAAAATAGGAATTACATCATTTTGATCCTACAAAATGATGACTAAATGAAACCATTTTTATTCTCATATGATATATCGGATTGATTTATGGAAAAATGGCAGCACTTCATATTTTTTTTAATTAAATTGCTCAACCATCCATTCACGTCAGAGCTTAATCGAACAAATTAAAAAAAAAATAAAAAATTGTTCAATTAAAATAGCACACCTCATAATATGAGGTATAAATATGCTTACAATACTTTACCAGGAAAAAAGACCGTAAATCTATAATATCCAGACACTAGATTGGCTCCAGATAAAAGAAGTCTATTTCACTGCGCAGTTGTGTTTTTTTTTCTACGCCTTCAATTGCCTGTGGAGTCTTAGATAATTTGGGGGAGAATTTTCCATCAGTCCGAACATGCCGTTGGCAGATGAAAATATTGAATTTGGAGCAGAGAAATGTTATCCCTATTGATTAAATTCAGCAATAGTGGTTTAAAGTAAGAAGAAGAAGTCTCCCAAAGTTAAATTTCGTGTTTATGCAAAAAAATTTGGCATTTAGATACAGAGAAGTCGCAGTTACATTCACCACCAGGACATGTGAGGACCTTGAAAAATTCTGTGCCTAAAAAAATTAAGGAAATGGTTGATGTTTTAGCGGTCGAACAACAATTATTATCAATTGATGCATATACGATATACCATAGAAATATTTCACATGTTCAGAGTTATATATATTCAAGAGATTTTTAGACAGGCTCATTTAACATTGAAAATTCAATATATTTGCTTCAACATTGTTAAATAATTAGCAAAACATTAAATTTTTATAAACTGAATTCAGGTAAAATTATCCTGACGCCAGTGTTTACGATCCCGACGAAACGTAAAAAAAGTTCAGGAAACATATTTCACTCAATTTAATTTCAAGAGTTTCATGATCTTGCAAAGCTTCATTGTGAGAATCTGTCAATTTTGTAATAAAATTCCACAGATTAGGCCACCTCTTTAAGGTCAGGCCAAGCGTTGAATAAAAGACTGCAAGGCTAAGCCTAAAGGCTTTGGTGCGGTACAAAAGTTCCAATTAGACGGCGTTCCGAATTCCAACTCTTTCGTTAGCCTAGCGCCGGTGACGATAGGAGGTGGCTACAATGGGAAGTAATTTTCATATTCAAATAAAATGGTACCTTCTGTTCGATGTCAAAGGCTTATTTGAGAATTAAATGGTTAAAATAATTCAGATCCGAACCTGCGTGTCCTAATTAAATTCTGACGGTGACGTTTTAAGATGAAAATTCGGAATACCTGAGAACTTATATCTTCAAAATGACAACAAGCAATTGTGAGTAAATATTAGGCAAATCTGAACAGCAAACTGAAAAATATATGGTGACAATATTATTGAATTACGTGAAAAAATTGTTCTCGTTCATTAGTTCATCAGCATCTCTCCCATACCTAATAATTAGGAATTAACGTATTTTTTGAGTTATTCTACCCAGAATGGAAATTGTACAGAATTTTTTTTCGATTTATCAGATCGTTTCAACTGTATATTCACTAGTTATTTATTCTTGTTCGTAAGAATCAGATGTATTGCACAATCATAGATACTGATTTCAATTTTCACGTAGCTTTTGAAAATTTTTACTCCGTGACAGTTATTCATCGAAAGTATTCTAAAATGTAGAAGTTAATTTTGCTCTATTTGCATGCTGAACAATTAGGAACGAATTTATCCAACTGGAAACTTGTCCGAAACTTACAGGATGGAAATTTCCCTTGAAGCAAAAACTCAATGATGGTGAACAATGTTTTTGCGATCAACGATTGGATTCCAGTCTTTTAATTGGCAGCACTTGAAAAAACGGACGTAAACCTTTGATCTTTTTCATTTCTGCACAGAGCTCAAGCATTTAGTGAGTTTAAGTTGAAATTCAAACTACGCACCACGATCTTGAGGCCCCTGGTCACCTGAAATTCCAATCCAGACGGCTGTAATTTTCCTTATTTGAAACGAATTGATAAATGAGTTCTCCTTAAAAAATAGAGAAATAATATACAATTCAAATAGATATTACTAAAATCCTAAGTAGCATAATTACATCGGCCGTTATATAAATTTGCTGATTGTGTTGTTGCTTCAATACATTTTGGAAGATACTTTGGCATTAACTTGAGGTTAAGGTATAGTTATCGTGATATTATAATTGTAATTATAATCCTTTAATTGTCTCTCTCGTCATAGAACATTTCACTCGATTTTATTGGTATTGTCTCATGTGTCAGTAAACGAAGTCAAAAAGCAAGCGCGATCTGAAATTATTTCCTGTACATCTCAGGTAACGAACAATAGCAGGCCCTTGTATATAACGAGAGAGCACATCTAATTTATTTTGAAGATCTGGCAATCACCAAAAATTGTAATCGCCTAATTTAAACTATGTAATTAGACCGTGGGATGCTGTAATGGTGAGAACTTCATGAAAAGTATTCCTTTCAACCAAATCACTATTCTGTGGTCCCGACTTATATACTCGTAGTTTAACAATGAATGTCTCAGAGGCCAAAAGGGCTTTCATTTTGATCTCTGCCGTGATAACGAAATTTGTTTTTGAGCTGCCACTAGGTATGTATGGTAAAGAATAAGAGGTGGCATAGAGCTTCCAGAAAGAGGAAATATAGTCGGAAAATACAGGAAGAGATAAAAAAAGGCAATTGGCGCATAACCAAGTGGAGTGTGTGTGTGGGGGGTTTGTTTAAAATTTGGGGATGGGAACGGGAACCCATCACGGCTTTAGGTGATTTGCCCGGTCAGTGTGGTGGTTCAGTACTTGAGTTATTTATATTTTTTAGTTCAGTCAAACGAAAAAAAAATAATGTAATAAATAAGTAATTTTTTTAGGTTTTAATATTGTCGTGGGATAAGCATTTAGAGCAGGATTTTGTGGTGACACCGCAAAGTAAGTGGGGTGGTCGTCGAATTTGTGGTACTTAATTGCAGCAGATGAGGATGCAAGTTAATTTCTTCTGTTCGCACCGTGAGAGTGTGATTCTAGCGTTGAACTTGTAGAAGAGGTCGTTGAGGATGCGTTGTGAAATGGTCGTGCACATCGTTATTATTTCGATAAATTTAATTAAAATAACGTGGAAACCAGTTGCGGGGTCAGCAGTCTGAAAAAGAACAATGAACTCATGGGAAGTGTCTGAAATCAAGCGGTTCGGGCAGTAAGGGAGTCGATTTTCTTCAGTTGTATTCTATATGTTTGAGGTCTCGGATGGTCATGTTGATGATGATGAATGAAAATGACTTGATGAGTGCAAAGGTGGACGAAGTTGCGAAGTATGGTTAGTTCCATATCCCTCAGGGTCATGGACTTGTCGGGTTCAGGGCGTTAGAGGAAGGACATATGAATGGAAGAAGGATAGGGAGACCCTGATGTATGATTGTGCATGTGGTGCAGTAGTATGTGCAAGAATTTGTTAGAACCAGAGGCACGGAAGAGAATGAGTCACAGTTTCTAAGTGACAAGCACTTTCTTCTGAGATGCTGCTCATCCGAGAGACGACTTAATTAGAGGTCACAAGTAACTGATAGAAAGAACCACACAGAAAATTGTCTCGTGGGTCTACTATTACACGGAGTGAAACTACGTTCCCTTATTAGTATTCACTAATGAAGCAAGCAAGGGTTACGCAACATACAGGATTTGAGACGGGAGCGATACTTTAGCCTGTTTGAGTCGGAGTAGCGGGATCGCTAGATGACACTACGTTGAAGCTGATCTATTATAACTGGTTTTGCGGTCTTAAGACCGGAGCTTATATAGTTTTTCTACCATGACGTCACTGGGTATGTTCCCACGTGATACGTAGAACGGGTGATGACACACAGGCTAATTTATTAATTAGTTGAATTTAAATACTACATCAACAACGCATCTTGACAGTTGTTGACAGCGATATCTGCATTCGAAAATGTTGATTCCACAGCATTCACGATTGGCGATGTTTGTTCTTCTTCGCTATTTCCATCAATGTCAATTAACCACAGTAGAGTGAAGTTTTATACATTAAGTTTATCAGTAAAATCCCGTGAAAATAGTGTCGGGCCATAAAAGTGTTTGAATGATAAGCTTTTGACATAATAATATAATGTTTGGAGGAGGCTGGTAAAGTTTGTTTCTCATTACGGTTGATAAAA